GCAGTCGAGGCGGGCAAGCTACCGACGGCGGAAAGCGCCGGGAACGCCGTTCCGAGGATACCCAAGGCGGAGCGAGGGGAATTCTTAGATAGCGCTTGATCTGATAAAGAAAATCAAAGACACATTCGCGCTGCCTCCCCCGTCTAGAAACACCCTTTCTCCTGGACATGCCAGGGGAGCCAAGAGACATTGTGCTGACCGGCGTTTTCTTATTTTTCTCTTTTTTTTTTTCTGTTTTTTTTTTTTTTAGTAGTAAAAAATAAATTTCATCTAAATTTCAGCTGCCGCATATGAACTTTAAGTTAATGCTGCGAAATAAACAAAATAATAATGTTTGGGGATTCGATTTTTTTTTCCTCGTGCTGGAAAAAATATCTCTTTGGGTTGATGTTTTAAACCTGAATTCTTAGAAAATAACCTGAATGTCACAGCAACCCCCTAGCAAATGCAAGCAGAAATAAACTTCGTGAAAAACAAAAATAAATCCACAGCTTCATTGCTAAATAATAGAAATTAGACATTTTATTTAGGCATATTTTTGCATGCACTGATTTAGTCAAAATCAACTGAGCTGCAGCCACCTCTATTTTTGGCTAGTAACATTTCCATTTGGTTTAATTGCACATATCTAATATTTAAACGTATTAAACCATGTTTCCCTGCTTACGGTAGTGTCATATACATTTCTCACCTTTTAGGTTCTGGCTCACAGGAGCCCCTGCGACTTTGACAGCTGTCGCTTTGGCTGCACAGGAGACGAATCGCCCTCCTTTTGGTGCCAGAAGAAGCAGGAAATTAGCCAGGTTGCAAGTTGAAAATCTGCCACGCCAGTGCTTTGAATCCAATATGCCACACCTTCCAGCGGGGAAACTGGAAATTGCCATCCCGGATCTGTGTTCTAGGCGGCTGCTTATGCCGAACCTCCGCACACTTTGTTCACTATTGCCTTACAAAGAACAAATGAAATGGGGATTGAAAGCCAGAGAGATCCGAAGCAGGACAGAGCTCAGCAAAAGAATGCGGCTCTATTCTCGCAAGGGAAATTATAAAAAAGTTCATGTTCACGGTTACCATCCACATGACCGACAACGACCAATGGAAAAACCGAACAACTCATAAAGTTGTATTGCAAAGTTGTAAATTTTCATAAACAACAACGGATTTATGGCCTTTTCCTCATCACTAAGAAGAGGCAGGTCTTAGAGAGGCGCCATCTTACCACAGAGGCAGCTCTGGAGTTTTTTAAAAGACCTGGAGTTTGTACTAATTTTATTAAAATTCCAATTAGTACAGTGACCAGGAACGGAGTGCAGCAGAAAAAAGGAACTTCTGAGCAAATGACGCTCTGCTTCTACCTATATCTAGCCAACAGAATATAGGGACTTTTCGGTGAGCATTTTTTTTTTTTTTAAATTTAAAAGATTGAAAACATTAGATCTCCTTGACACTTTGTGGTACTTGGCAAAAACGGTACGTTTTCTAAAGCGAGGCGATTTTCCCCCTTTTTAATGCCACCCTGATGCCCTCTGCTCCACGAAAGCCGCACACACAAACCACACACATACCCCACCAGATCGTTTGCACTTGGAAGTTTCGAATCGCACTTTCTGCTCATTACAAAATATTATTTCACTGCATGCGATTTCAGCTTGATCGCCCGCCGCCTGGACTGGGGTTGTGATTGCAAGAGGACACGGGAACACGGTGGAAGGAAGCCCTCCCATAAAGAAGGCTTTCCGCTTTATTAATCAACTGCGCGAGGGGAAAAAAAAAAATCACGAAGACAAGATAGAGAAATTGAGTGATTCTTATCAATTCATCACCTTGGTATTTTTTTCCTTCTGATTATGAAAAAAAAAGATTTATATGATCTAATTTCTTTATTTGTCTGTGTAAATTATTTTTTGATGCTTCCTTCGAACTGTTTCCCTAATAAAGAAACACAATTCATTGTCAACAAGCATATTTATTTTCTGTGTAACATAAAACACATTTATCGTGGGAGATACTTGTACACGGTATTACTTCTAAAGAGAGTTCACAGACATTTTTTTCCACTTCCAATACTTACACGGCATATCCAAATGTTCACAACGAAAACACTGAAACACGTTGTAACATACAATTTTTGAATAAACTTTAGCCAAACCTTCAAGACGGATTTATACAGATTTCTTAACAATACATCATGCTACAAAGTTTCCAAATTAATTACCTACTTCCCAATTTATGACATGATCTTACAAATTATCTCCAAGACGAAGATAAAGAACAAGAAAAAAAAATCATTCAAATATACAGCATCTGCTATTGTAGGAAAATTCACGGTATTACATATTAACACGTTCGGATAATCATGACAAACAGGATTTTTTAAAAAGTGTTACATGATCATTTAAAGTCACTTTTCAAAGAACACTTTCCGCTATATTAAGTAAGATGACCCTAGAATAAGAAAACGGCCTTTAGCAGAGGCAACCTAAGATAGAAGCCAACGGGAGATATTAAACCGCTTGCACAATATTTCCGTGTATTTGCTTCCTCACTCGGAATAGGAAAGAATCGAGAACAAAGATATATTGCAGCATATGGTTTTCATTTATAATTGCTTTGGAATAAATATATTATTTTAAATTTAAATATATTCAGCCTTTTCGGTACCAAATTCTATACCAAAGCTATTGATGCGTGCTTTTCAAACAACTACACTTATATTTCTAAAAGCAGTTTGCAATTCACATTAGTAATGTTATTTTCCTTTGACTACTAAAATACAGTATACTTTTGAAGATAGGTAGGCGGAGCAAGATACATAGGTAGTCTGTAAAATAGGTAGTACAAATCATTGTTATAGACTGTAGTGGTTTGTGGAAGATGATTTTTCCCCCCCTTACTTGCTGTTTAACCTTTTGTTAGTGTAGCTGTTAATTATGAAACTTTTCTAAGAATACTTAAAAAAACCCCAAACAAACAAGAAAACACACACACACACACAAAAAGAAAGAGAACTGCAGAGCTACTTATTCAAAATTAGGTAGTTTTTCTTAATGAGAGCCTAATGCACTTTTCCCCTTACAAACGATTGGGACTACTGAGTCAGGTAGTTACTTCAAAAGGTCATGGTTTACTGTCTGTGCAAGCAGCAGTTCTGCCACTGAAATATCCACTGGACAAACCCACCCAGATTTGGACAAACGAAAAATATAAATGATTGTAGGATGCTTTTAGGAGATATTATGAAAAGTTTTGGTACAGGGCAGGTTTGGGGAGTGCGAAGATGTGGACAGAAGGCTGTAAAACCATACCAAGAAACATTTTCAGGTTTGCAAACTCTCGCTTGCAAGATGATTATTAAAGGGAACAGATTTTTTTTAAATAAAAACAGTAAGTCTCTCTCTCTTTTTTTTTTTTCTTTAAAGGGAGCTTTTCCAGCTGTCATGTGCATACATTATACTAAGAGATCGTTTCCTCAAGTGGGACTCCTTAGTCCTCCTCCTCTTCGTCTTCTTCCACTTTCTCGACAGAAGCTGCTGCTGACGTGGGCTCATTGGGAGCCGGGGTGCTGGAGCTCTCTTCCTTGTGCTCCTTCTTCCACTTCATCCTCCGGTTTTGGAACCAGATTTTTATTTGCCTCTCCGTCAGGCAGAGGGCATGGGCGATCTCTATCCTCCGCCGCCGAGTCAGATAACGATTGAAGTGGAATTCCTTCTCCAGCTCTAGGGTCTGGTAGCGGGTGTAGGTCTGGCGCCCTCGCTTCCTATCTGGACCTGAAAGGAGGTACACGCGGCCAGAAGTTAGGCGAAAAGAGAGGTGGAAAGTTTTGGTTTTTACTTTTCTTTTTTTTCCCCCCGATGATAATGATGATGATTATTTAAATAAATAATCAAACAAACAAAAAGCGGCCGAGCGAGAGAGAATTGTCTCCTTTTCACTCCCACCCGCCCCCCTACTTTGTCCTAACAAAGACATTTCAGCCATACGACCTGCCCTAGTCGGACAGGGAAAAAATTAAGTTGCTCGAGACCTGAAAAAAGTGGAGAGAAAGCATTCAGGAGAGGAGGTGGGGGAGGAAATTGCTTTTGGGAGGAGGAAAGTTCCCCCCAGGCTATGTATTTCCCTAAAACCTTCCAGACATTCACGTTTCGCAAGGGGAAATAAAAAACCTGGAAGACTAACCTGCATTTATTTTATTTTAATGTCGGGGGCTCCCTCCACCCGCCCACCCCACCTCGCCTGGATC